CGGGCGAGCCGACGGCACTGCAGGCCCGCGCTAGCGGTGGCGCCGCCAGGCTAGTTCTGAGCTAGTTCTCGTGCCCCTTATTCAGACTCTTATTATTTTCCTAGTTGTTTCCTGGAGAGGCCGACCCTCTGCTGCCTGAGTTCTGCAAGGACAGCACGTTCACCCGCAGACTGTGACGTCTGGAAATGAGGGACCAATAACTGTATCCACGTGGCTCGCAGCCAGGCACGCCCCCAGGAGCCGGCGCCAAGTGCCTGTTCCCCAGAGACGCCGCGTCACCAGGGCTTCTCCCGATGTAACAGCCCCCGCCATGCTCTGCCGCTCTGTCCACACTCTCCCTCCTGTCGCCCCACCTTCAGGCCGTAACCAGCTCCTCTCTCCCGAGTCTCCATGGGCTGCGTGGCCACCTCCCTCTCTCCGCCCTGCACCCCCTCGGGACCTCTGCACTGTCCCCCAACGCCTCCAACCCCACCAGCCTCCCCTCCCGCCCCCTTCCAAGCTCCCTGCTTTCTTCCTGTCACCAGCATCGTCTATTCTCTGCCCCCCAACCATGGATTCTCTCATTCCCTCTTGTCACCTTGACCTGAGCCTCAGTTCACGTTACCAGCATTGGGACCTCAAGGAAGATACTTTTTTTAAAAAAATTGTTATTGTTCCCATGAGCCTCAGCTTCCTTGTGCATAAAATGGGGGGACAATGCCTTGGATCTCTGTCATGCAGGTCAGACCTCACTCATGTGGGCAGTATCGGCTGCTGACCTCTGGAAGCAGACGTGATGGTCCAGCAACGCCAAGCACTCACTGTCCCATTGCCCCTCACGGCGTTCCTACAAGCCAGCACCCTCACCGTGTACACCTCACAGGTGAGAAACGGGCGCTCAGAGCGGTGAAGGCAGGGGAGCCAGGGCGGAGCCTAGCCTGGCCCAGAGCTGCTCCCCTCCCCCAAACGGGCCATCACCAGGGCCCGGCCAGAACCACAAACATCCAGCAGCTCAGTGGGGGCCTTGCCAGCAACCCTCTGCAGGAGGCAGAACTGTCACCCCCCGTTCACCAAGGATGGAGCGCTCTCGTGGGAATTGCACCCACATTCTGGAGCCCTGGGGGGCTGGCTTGTCTCGAGGGTGGTCCGAGCGTCTCCCCTGCCCCCACCAGCGTATGCAGGCCTTTCCCCTTTCGGGAGATGGATTGCCTCCCTTCCCCTTGAGTCCAAGCCTAGCAGCTCACTCAGCTGCTGATGGGGATGAGATCTGGGGCTTCTGGGCTGGGTCCTGAGAGGCCTGCGGACTCCGCCCAAGCCCCGTGGCCTCGGAGCACTTGGTCTTGGAGTCAGAAGGCCACCCCGCTGCCGGAAGGACGCGGGGAGAGGCCCCGAGACTGAGGCAACGTTGCCAGGGCTCACCCGCAGGCAGGGCCCCGACACCAGGCAGGCGCCGAGCCCTTACTTTACTGAGGCCAAACTGTGAGGCTCAGAGAGGCTGTGAGGAGCTGGGTGAGAGTGATGAAGCTAGAATCAGCCCCAGCGCCCTCGGGCCCCACCATGGGCTCTGCCCAGTCCTGCTTCTGAGCGTGGGGTGGGGGGCTGGCGGCCTCGACCCACGGTCCGGGCCGGG